TTGGTGTGACTTAACACTGAATTCAGACTTTTTTTTTTTTTTCATTTATATGAGGCAGTACTGCTGAATGTAAGAATAGAAAGGTCAACGTTTCGAATGTCTTCCCATGAGTTGAGGCCAAGGCCGCCATGTTCTCACTGACCAATAATTCTTCATTAGATTGATTGAAGTTGCATTCAAATCAGGACTTCATGTTCAAAATGTGAATATGAATGAATTTTCAAAGCCCTTTTCAGCTCACTGGTGCCTCGAGTGGACAAAAATGAATTTATTTTAAAATTTTTCTTATCATGTTATATTAAAACTGACTTGAAAACAGTTTTGTAGATGCCTTTTATGTAGATTTTATTGTTTACTCATGTTCTCAATCCAGTCTTTAAGTCTTAAAACATGAAAATGCACATCACCCATCACCCTCTATCGGTCTGTTTCTCTCAGATACGGAGGCAGGGCGGTATTCAGTTGTTGGTGGACCTGTTGGATCACAGAATGGCTGAAGTACACAGAAGCGCCTGTGGTGCCCTGAGGAACCTCGTTTACGGCAAAGCCAATGATGATAATAAAATCGCTCTGAAGAATTGCGGTGGAATTCCTGCGCTGGTCCGCCTGCTGCGTAAGACCTCAGATGTGGAAGTCAGAGAACTGGTCACAGGTAAGAACTTCTGCTGGCTTTGATATGCCTTTTTTCAGTTTAAGTTTTATTATAGGAATTTTACAGATTAGTCGTCGATTCTCCCTATACATACAGTATATACATGTTGGTGTGACTTAACACTGAATTCAGACTTTTTTTTTTTTTTCATTTATATGAGGCAGTACTGCTGAATGTAAGAATGGAAAGGTCAACGTTTCGAATGTCTTCCCATGAGTTGAGGCCAAGGCCGCCATGTTCTCACTGACCAATAATTCTTCATTAGATTGATTGAAGTTGCATTCAAATCAGGACTTCATGTTCAAAATGTGAATAGGAATGAATTTTCAAAGCCCTTTTCAGCTCACTGGTGCCTCGAGTGGACAAAAATGAATTTATTTTAACATTTTTCTTATCATGTTATATTAAAACTGACTTGAAAACAGTTTTGTAGATGCCTTTTATGTAGATTTTATTGTTTACTCATGTTCTCAATCCAGTCTTTAAGTCTTAAAACATGAAAATGCACATCACCCATCACCCTCTATCGGTCTGTTTCTCTCAGATACGGAGGCAGGGCGGTATTCAGTTGTTGGTGGACCTGTTGGATCACAGAATGGCTGAAGTACACAGAAGCGCCTGTGGTGCCCTGAGGAACCTCGTTTACGGCAAAGCCAATGATGATAATAAAATCGCTCTGAAGAATTGCGGTGGAATTCCTGCGCTGGTCCGCCTGCTGCGTAAGACCTCAGATGTGGAAGTCAGAGAACTGGTCACAGGTAAGAACTTCTGCTGGCTTTGATATGCCTTTTTTCAGTTTAAGTTTTATTATAGGAATTTTACAGATTAGTCGTCGATTCTCCCTATACATACAGTATATACATGCTGTAGCAATTAATTACAACTTTCGGCAGTGGCGTAACTTTGCTTTGAAAAGTGGTGGGGACACCGCGCAACTCGTTTTGCTAGTTTTTTATTTAATAACCTAATTTACTTGGGGACTGGGTTTAGAGTTGGACAAACTTCATTTTTGCTTTTCAAAAATACATCGATGTACCAGGGGCGGCGCCAGAGAATTTTGAACGCAGGTGCTGAGGGGGTGCTAGATCATTGACAGAGGGAGCTGGGCAATTCAGGACTCCAGACTCATTCTTCCCACTGGTTGCTCTTTTGCGATTAACTTTCTCAGTTGGTTGCACAAGCAGGTTTTTTTTTTGCGCTACAACATGCTATTAATCAATGCATGCTGATGAACTTTTATCGTAGTTTATAGTTATATGGAAACGAAAGTAGTTAACATTCAACCC